TCCATCATCGTCATTCCCACCATTTCTCGTCGTCGTCATCATCAAATGCATAAATAGTTACATACATAATTTATTTTACTATAGCGTAAAATCCAATACAAAAATGCTCAATGTGTTTTACATGACAAATTAATGGTAATGACAGACAAAAAATTAAGGAAAAGAAATAGATATAAACATTTAGTTATCAAAGAGGTGTGTCTTCAAGTTCTTCTTAGAAGACTCAATCATCACCATCATCCTTCTTTTCTTTCTTTTTTTACTGTCTGAATCAACACCACATCGTTTGTCTTTTGCCTTCTCCATCAACTTATCACCGTTCTTCATTTTTTCCCTATAGCTTGACGTCATTTGCTATCATATCATTATTACTCTTTATTTCTTCATCATATTCTTCATTATCAACAATTAATTTGCACTTTTCAAACTTTCTTTTATTCTACATCTCTTCCTGTTGCATCCTTTTATTTTTGTCCTCTTCCATCCTCGTCTAACATTTCTGCTTCATCTTCTACTTTTCTTCTCCTAAAATGTATCAATTTTCATTTTCTCCTTTGGACTAGATACCAGAGACATCAAGGTTCTCGCGGGACAGCACAAAAATCGATGAATCCCAATTCTCTAAGAGGTGATGGTGTTTACGTTTCAGACAGCATGCGCAATTTGGATGAAAAAAGATATCCTCTTAGGAGATTGTTATTACCTAATGATTTGGCGTTGCCAATATTTTCATGAAGAAGCCAAAACTCTGAGGATCATAGAACTAGAAGGCTTACGAAATATAGTTAAATCGGTATGAAAAATTGTTGAATGGAATATCAACTGCTTTCGATGTTTTGAGAATTTTCATCCGAGCCTTTGTTATCTGAGGGTATGAAATACGCAAATAGTTGTATTACAATAACTACTTTTGCATCCGTATAAGCGTCAGCGTTCAGCAGTATGAGAAACTGAGATTATTAATCTTCCACCTTTATTTATTTTGTTAGTTGGGGAAAATAGTTTTGAAATACATCCAAAGGTGTACAATGCAATAATCACATACTAATTTATGGGGTATTTTTTATAATTTGAGATTTCGAGAAAAGAGCAGGTATAGAAAAATGAAGAAGGGGGAGTTCAATTAAAAAAATATTAAACGTGGGAAAGATTTGTATCGGTCGGTTAACAAACAAATTACACCTCATGGGAAGAGATGCCCCCTCCCCCTGAAAAAAAGCTTCACAAATCGAATGTGCAAAGATATTCCATATTCAAAGAGCATTTAGCCACTCCCTGCTTCTAGAGAAAAAAGTTTGAAAATCGGACTGCATCTTCCAAAAGTTTCATAAACTAAGCAAAGCTTTACTGCTGCTTTTTTAACAGAGTCTTACTAACAAAGAATTATGATTGTTTTTCCCGAGATAATATTTTTATGGTTTTAAATTCATACTAAAGGGATCCACAGCCCCTTCACCCCCTCCCTTGTTCTATATCCGCCTATACCATTAGCAAATCCAACAACATTTCGCTTTTTTATATCGTAGGTAGAACTCGTTTTGGAATAATTTCCACTTTTCGATAATTTGTCTACAAATCAAATACATGAACGAAAATTAACCTCTCAATAATAGTAAGGTTAATCCAAACATTGTCTAGTATAATGCACTAGAGACTACAGACTCATTTACTTTTTAATGAAAATACAGATATCATGCTTTACGTTTGTGCAACAAACACCAATCAGTCTATTAATTGACTGTTCGACCGTGAAGTGTACAACAATGTATGGACATCGGGAGGAGGAAACCAACGATGCCAACTTGCATAGAAACGGCACAGTACTTCTCATCGAAAACGATGGTTACCATGGACGCTAAGGATTGACGACTCGCTCACGTGGTCTCCATGTATTATGAATGAAAAGATATATGATGAAGATATAAACCACACGCCCATTGTTCTCGTCTGTTGTCATATGCGTAGGATTACGTTAGCAGTATTGTGGAAGCCTCGGAAAACGGCATATTGAGGATTTGTCAAATGCCAGGGAATGTATAAATAGTGTTTGGCTACCATGGCTAACCTTCAACAAGCATGTGATTAAACGTGTATTTTAAAAATAGCAAGCTATTGAATATATTTATACATTTGTTAAAAGCAGACTTACAACGCCAATTAGAGTGAGGGAGGGAGAGGGGAGGAAGGGAGAGAGAGAGAGAGAGAGAAAGAGAGGGAGAGGGAGATGTAGTAAGAGAAAGGAAGGGTACGAGTGATAAACAGGAAGAAGAGCAAGTACAAAACGAAAACAAAAGATGTAGAGAAGAAAAGAGATAGAAAACGCGATAAATTGAAAGTGAAATCTAGAAGGGAGGCGATACAAAAAAGGGGGTATAGTGTGCGTGTGTGTGTGTGTGTGGGAGAGAGAGGGGGGGGCAAACAGATACACAGAGAAGGGGAGAAGGGGAGAGAAGAGAGAAAATGATATTGAGGAAGATAAGGAAGAGAGAGAGAGAGAGAGAGAAAGATGATATCGAGGAAGATTAGGGAGAGAGAGAGAGAGAGAGAGAAAGATGATATCGAGGAAGATTAGGGAGAGAGAGAGAGAGAGAGAGAGAGAGAAAGATGATATCGAGGAAGATTAGGGAGAGAGAGAGAGAGAGAGAGAGAGAGATAAAGATGATATCGAGGAAGATTAGGGAGAGAGAGAGAGAGAGAGAGAGAGAGAAAGATGATATCGAGGAAGATTAGGGAGAGAGAGAGAGAGAGAGAGAGAGAGAGAGAGAGAGAGAAAGATGATATCGAGGAAGATTAGGGAGAGAGAGAGAGAGAGAGAGAGAGAAAAAGATGATATCGAGGAAGATTAGGGAGAGAGAGAGAGAGAGAGAGAGAGAAAGATGATATCGAGGAAGATTAGGGAGAGAGAGAGAGAGAGAGAGAGAGAGAGAGAGAGAGAGAGAAAGATGATATCGAGGAAGATTAGGGAGAGAGAGAGAGAGAGAGAGAGAGAGAAAGATGATATCGAGGAAGATTAGGGAGAGAGAGAGAGAGAGAGAGAGAGAGAGAAAGATGATATCGAGGAAGATTAGGGAGAGAGAGAGAGAGAGAGAGAGAGAGAAAGATGATATCGAGGAAGATTAGGGAGAGAGAGAGAGAGAGAGAGAGAGAGAGAAAGATGATATCGAGGAAGATTAGGGAGAGAGAGAGAGAGAGAGAGAGAGAGAAAGATGATATCGAGGAAGATTAGGGAGAGAGAGAGAGAGAGAGAGAGAGAGAGAGAGAAAGATGATATCGAGGAAGATTAGGGAGAGAGAGAGAGAGAGAGAGAGAGAAAGATGATATCGAGGAAGATTAGGGAGAGAGAGGGAGAGAGAGAGAGAAAGATGATATCGAGGAAGATTAGGGAGAGAGAGAGAGAGAGAGAGAGAGAGAAAGATGATATCGAGGAAGATTAGGGAGAGAGAGAGAGAGAGAGAGAGAGAGAGAGAGAAAGATGATATCGAGGAAGATTAGGGAGAGAGAGAGAGAGAGAGAGAGAGAGAAAGATGATATCGAGGAAGATTAGGGAGAGAGAGAGAGAGAGAGAGAGAGAGAGAAAGATGATATCGAGGAAGATTAGGGAGAGAGAGAGAGAGAGAGAGAGAGAGAAAGATGATATCGAGGAAGATTAGGGAGAGAGAGAAGATAAAAGAGATAAAAGGCGTACTAGACTATTCCGTATCGTGTAGTAGTAGTACAATTATATACTAATAGATCTTGAAAGCGACAAACTTGCTCTCTTTTTGTTAAAACAATTTTTTTAGATAACAACAAGGTGGTGGATTAATGGTTTTCAATACGTGTTGAGAGCAGCTATAATGACTAGAAGACCATTTTCCCCTATGAGCTGCTTGGTTAATGGATACTTAAATGGACGTCGAATGCTAATGATGAAAACTGATCAGTACTCTTTCCAACTGGCCTTATAATATATGCTAGATGTTACAGCCGATGCACCTCATTGAGTAATCCAATATTTTCTAAATCTGGTTCAAATTGAGATTTTGTAAGATAGCACGACGTCAAAGTTTTCATCACGGCCTAAATCCAACATGACGTCAAAAGTAATATATCTGTCGTTTTGTCGTACCCAATTTTTGTAATCAATCCTTTTATCTTATAATACCAGGATATTTTGTTCATTACAAAACGCTTACAAAAAGCAGAAGCTAAGAGCCGAGTTGTGTTTTGAAGCTCTCGAAATCGCTACGTAAATGAAAATGGTAATTTTCTGGTTGACATGTAACCGTACTTTACAAATATCCCCTGAGTCAAAATTATGGATCTGTTTCCGAAATGAGAATCCGAGAACCACATCAAATGCATTTAATTTGTAGAGATTAGGTAGAGACAAACAGCATTGAAAGACTGGATTTAACAGTCCGCGTACGATTGGCTGCTCAGTCATCTAAAAGCACACATGAGAGTCCGCCTCAATCATGGTAAACTATATGTTTTAAGCTCGTATGGCTGGACTCGTGCAACTCAAACATACTTTTAAATGCATTAGCTGTATATGCTCTCATAGCGTTATTATATGCCTATAATGTGGTGTTAATGAAGTCATCTTTTTACAGAGATCATGCTGAAGATATTAAAATATGGCAAGATAAAAATACTGATAACAATAATAACGACGACTTCATTGCTATGACGATGTTGATGACGGCTTCATAGCAAATTTTGTTTATCATGACGGTCATACATGTACTTCAACAATTGTAAACTTTTAGGCTAGATGTTATTCAACATATATCGATGCATGCCATTATATTTTCGTTGTACCATTTAAGCCCGGTGAGGTGGCAAGTATAAGTTCGGAAAGGAAGGTGAATCTATAACAAGAAATCTAATTAAACATCCACCTGTAGAATTTGTACCTCTAAGAGGCAACGAAATCATGACAAATACACGTGTTCTATAAAGTAGGATTAAAAAGAATATAGGATCAAAAGAATCGTAGAAGTAGGTTTTTTGTTTACCTCTTGTTCGTCATCATTCGAAGTATCTTCCTCTTCTCCACATTCTCCTCTCCCTCGTTCATTTTCTTCTCCTCCTCCTCCCCCTCGTTCCTCCTCCTCTTCTTCTCCTCCTCCTACTGTTGGGCCATTGTTCGTAGGTGTATTAGTTCCTCTTCCAGCATGTCCAGTATCATCTTCGGTTCCTGTCTCGGTTTCTCTGGTCGACATGCTGGAACTAAAATTGACTTTCCTTTCCTCGGTCTCCCGTTGGCTGGCCATCTGCTATCTCCTCAAGCAGGAACAGCGGACGTATTCCTCCTATTGTATGCCGTACAAGAGCAAGAAAGAAGCAGTACGTCGGCATCTGATCTTATTGGATGAAGTCCTCTCGTGGAAGTGATGAACACGATGAACGGCGGTAAACGGAACTCGGTGCGTGTTTCTCTCCAGTTAGAACGCCAGACGGAGATGAACTGCACCAGACAGGCAGAGAGAGAGAGAGAGAGAGAGAGAGAGAGAGAGAGAGAGAGAGAGAGAGAGTGAGTGAGAGAGAACAAGGGAGACGGAGAGTGAGACATGAGAAAGAAGATAACAATATTCACGGGAGAGTAGAAAATCTGAGTGATAGACAGACACAGGAATACAACCACATAGAAAGAGAATGGGAGAGGAGATGGAAAAGAGAGATGGAGAAGAGAAGAAGGAGAAGCGATAGAGGGGAGGAGGAGAGGGAGGAGCAGGAGGAGGAGGAGAGAGAGGAAAGAAACAGAGAGGGAGAACACAGAGGATAGAGGGGAGAGAGGGCGAAAAATGTAGAATAAATATTTTTAGTGTAGCACAAGGTACGAGGGAAGTTTTTAAATCTATTTTCCTACATTAAATTATGTAGTATATCAATTTTGCTTCACTATCTCAAGGATCAACGCGACTCTTAGAATATTAGGCCAACTTTGAACAATACAATCAATAATATCGTGATGGATATCTGACGCTGTCATGTAATTACCGAACGTATTTCAGTTTAATCTCAAGAGTAGCATAATTCAAACAGTTGTCAATTAGCAAAATTGGGGGATGCATTATTCCTCCTTGATCCCACGCCTGTGTTTCAATGTCATGTTTATCCTACTGCCCTTCAGTCTCCGGTCTACCCTGACTATCTAATCATGGAGCTGAGTGTTCATGAGATTGGATTGGCAATGTGACAAGTTCTATTCGGTTCAATGAAATGTCCAATCTTGCTGATAAATTGTGGGTTAAGATGCCCGGCGAGAGGGCAATCATGTATGTGACCACGTTTGATAATGTCATGCGGAAGAGGGTTAACAATTTGCGCAATTACAATTGTAATATCATATAAGGTATGATGATTATTATCTGCGATGTTGGAATGACTTGTTCGCGTCATGGTATTTTGAAATGGTAATTTTTTACCACTTGTTGAAATATCCTCTATAGCGATTATGACTTTTGCAGGGGCAGATCAAGATAATGTTTTCAGAAAGGAGGAACGCGAAGAATTTGAATGCACTGAAATTTCTTCGCAGGCCTCCTCCTCCTCCTCCTCCTCCTCCTTCTCCTCCTCCTCCTCCTCCTCCTCCTCCTCCTTCTTCTCCTCCTCCTTCTCCTCCTCCTCCTCCTCCTCCTCCTTCTCCTCCTCCTCCTCCTCCTCCTCCTCCTTCTCCTCCTCCTTCTCCTCCTCCTCCTCCTCCTCCTCCTTCTCCTCCTCCTCCTCCTCCTCCTCCTCCTCCTTCTCCTCCTCCTTCTCCTCCTCCTCCCCCTCGAATAGTTTCTGACAGACCAACCATGCAGGCCTCCCAAACTCACTCACCGCAATGTCGGATTTTTTTCTGTTTATGGTTGTCAAATCTTATAAGACGTTCACATCCCCTGTTTCCACCCCCTCCCTTGTATCACCGCCCCTGGTCTTAAGTGACTTTAATAAAACAAATCTGAGGCATAAAATCTTCATCCGCTTGAACTCGTTTAGATCCATCATTCATCTATAAACCGCTCAACGTAGCGACTAATGACGTCACATATTTAATAACATGTATGTTCATTCTTCATATTTTAGAAATTGGAATGCTATCTCACAGTTGAGTGGAACATGCACTTCACTGATTCCGTGAATTGGGGCAAAGGTAATCATACCCAAGTCATGCAGAAAGATGTTATAAACAGTTGTTAAAGATGAAATCGTTATTCAATCTGAAGACATGGAAAACGAAAATAATCAAAGACTTTGTAATGTTCCGTAAGCATTTTCCGGCTTTTAGCCATAGAAGCACCACCATAATGGCCCCAAATGACACTCAAACTCCATCTGCTTCTCCTCATTCTAATTTTCTTATTCATTGATCCAGGTCACTTGAAATATTTGCCCATTTATTAAACATTAATTGAATGGCCTTTTATCGTTGCATGGCTGTCTTTTAAGTGACCATCGCAACAATCGAGGTTTCATAAACTGATTTATTTTTTTTAAACAGTCAAGATTTTTGGTGTAATCAAATTGAAGAATGAAAATAAAGTTATTTGTATTTTGTATTGTATTTTGTATTTATTAACATTTATTTCCTTCTCAACAGTACAATATGAAACACAATGTATATATTTCAACATAGAGTATACAGTAAATAATTCAGATACGGAAGGAGGCGAAAACCCGAAAGCATAGCTTCAGTTGGGAACGCCCATAATAAATTAACACAGTTACCGAGAGAACATTATAGATATTATTATGAAAATTACATTTTATATAACAGAAAGTTGATAGGAAAGAACAAAAATAGTAAATGGAATAGAGAGAAGAAAAAAAATGAGGAGAGAATTAAGTATAGGAAGGCATGTTCACTTATACAGAGGAAATTACTTCAATTGGGCTGTGCATTTGTCTGTGATTACATCATAAAAATAACGAAGTACTACAATTTTAAAATTTGTGTTTTGAAGAGGTGTGTTGGATTATTTGATTGCTTATTTTGCTATCCTTGTTTGCACGTAGATTTTAAATATAACAAGTTTTAAAAGGTGGCACTCGTTTTGCAAGATGCTGCTTTATTCTGTCCACGTCAAAAACTTCTGCCTCCAACAGTCATCTTCAAAGGAGGTGATCAAATTTTTTGGGAAAAAATGAATAAATATATATGACGCTCGCCTGAGATTCATCAGGAAACCCTTCCGTATCTAGAAACGGTTTATTTCAAGGTTTCAGATTAAAACTTCATATCTTATTGCTAAAACCAGTTGTTCGGGCAGAGCGGCAACAATGAAAACAAATGTATCTGTGTGAAAATGGTTATTATTATACAGTTTTCTCGTTAATTAATCGTATAATTAACAAATGACAACGTTTCGTGGATGAGGGTTTTGTTTTGTTTTGTTTTTATATTAGTTACCCATTGTAACTTTGTTCTGCAAATAACACCTTGCTTTTTTACAGAGCATTGCTGCATTTAGAATAATTTTACTGCTCTCTCTCTCTCTCTCTCTCTCTCTCCCCTCTCTATCTCTCCCTCTCTCTCTCTCTCCCCCTCTCTCTCTCTCTCCCTCCCCTCTCTCTCTCTCCCTCTCTCTCTCTCTCCTCCCCCTCTCTCTCTCCCTCTCTGTGACGTTTCGACGTAACGTCATCGTGGAATGCGAGATGAAGTCCTACAAATTCTAGTTTAATAGATGCAGTGCAGTCGTGACTGGGTGCAAAAGTCGAGTGCGTTCGGACAGGCAAATGATCTGGGGAAGGAAATTGGATGCTCTCCGGCAGCTCTGGGTAATATCGAAAGAGTAGCAAGAGCAACAGAAACATGAAAGAGAGGGGATGCATCGTAAAAAGAAGACGAGAAGAAGAGCAATGTACAGTGTGTAGGAAAAGAGAAGATAACAACAAGAATAGAGAGGTGGGGAGAGTGGGTGACAGGAATTCAGGAATGAAATATAGAAATAGAGACAAAGAGAAAGAGGAAGGATGGCTAAAGAGAAATAAATCTATGTTGGCTGATAGCACGAGATACAGAAAGAAAGCTAACCGGTCGAAATGAGACCTGTTTCATTCGTGATTTGTTGAGTAAATCTATAAAGTATATAATTATGTTTTTATTGCAGTGTAGTTGTAGACCTAAATTATAGCCAAGTGCCTTAAAATATAGAAAAAGCTTTTCACAATTATTTAGACAATGCAACAGCATTGATCTTGGAACAAATTACTCTAGACAAATACTTCGCAGAAACGTGCCAATTAATTTTAAATAAAAATGACTGTTGACTCCAACCATTATGTCTTCTGGACTTAAGTATCATTAGTAGCAACCAAATAGGTAAAGATAAGGTCGAGAAACTTGAAGATCGGGATTTTGTTTATCATTTGGTCAAATTTAATATATAAATGACAATCGACTCTAGACTGTGTGTCTACTTGGCTTCATTGTTATTAATAACAATTATTAATAACAATGCAAAGAGAAGGTAAAAGGTCGGGATCAGGTTTTTTTTTTAAAGAACGAGGAATATCAGCCACATGCCTAGCTCCTCTGTTTAAAGAGAGTGGAAGGAAAGGCATCAGCGTCATACAGGCGCGGATCCGGGATTTCTTAGGGGTGGGGGCCCAAATTTGAAATCAATATGAAATTTAGTGTGCTGAAATATGAAAAATTGTGCCTGCCAATATTTCGGGGGGGGGGGGGGGGGGAGTGAGCACTATTTTTTTTTTTTTGCTCCCAAAAATTTGAAAATCGCGCCGGCCGAAAATTCGCTCAGTGGGGGGGGGGGGAGGGGCATCTCCCCCAAAAAGGTAAAATTAACGTTAAAAACGGCCACCCACCCCCTCCCCCGCTGGATCCGCCACTGGCGTCATATGAAATCATAGAATAAGGGGAAGCTAACGTTTCAAAAAGGCCAATAAGAATAATTATTAAAAGATGAAGTACATGAAATGGAATAATTACAGATACAAAACTTTACACTTTACAAATTAATAGGAACTTTAAGAAAACCATTTTTAAAAAGAACATCGATAAGAAATAGTGTGTTCTAAAGAAACCTTATATATATATATATATATATATATATATATATATATATATATATATATATATAACAAGAAATTATTTCAATCTGGACAGCAGAAATCCAGATTTACACCAAAATTGTTTAATTTTCAGGTTCTGGGTTTCTCTTTTACTTTTCTTCAAGGCTTTGTGAAAGATACCAGTAGCCAGAATCATTTTATTGTTAACCTTTTAGTGATGGTTCTGCTTAATCTTAAATAAGTTCATGAATTGTAAAATCATCAATTAATAAATTACACATGAATTGTTAATGCATTACAGAAGCCACAAATAATAAAACAGGCATTCAATCATTTGTTTTGGTAAATTTATTTTTATTTGCAAAGCAAGACATTCAGTATATAAAAAAAATGCTTAGTACAAATAACATGATAATTTCAGAAATACAAACACAAAAAGAAAATTACAAGACATATGACTCTTATTAATATAGCAACATTGATGAGATATGATAAATGCTACAT